CCACATCTCCCTGATGACTTCTCAAGGAACCTTCTAGCACTGACTTTCTGTTGTCTAGAGGGCCAATTCTTTGCATGTCTAGAATCCAATGCCTGACTATCTCTCTTGCTGGATTCAGTTTCCTAGGTGGGATTAAATAATCTCTAAGGCCTTCCAATTCAGAGATATTTTGACTGTCCTCCAATATAGCAGGATACGTGATGCTATGACTGTCAAAGGCCGCAGGATCCTTTGATACTGTGAAATCCTGAGCTTCCTATAGCCACTTTTGTAGCTTGTCCATTTGTTCCTAAACTGCATTTAGAGTTATAGTTATTGTAATTACCTTTCAACCATCACAGGTTTAAAAATGATCTCAGGGAGCTATTAAAACCTTTTGGATCAATAGGCCTTTGTGAATGTCTACAGTACCTGGAGTGGCAGGAGCTTCACTGATATCAGGAACAAGTTAGGATGCCGTCGAATTATCATTCCAGCCTTCTTTTTCTCCAACATGTAGAAGGGCTCCTTGCCCTGCTGGAGTTTCTCACTAATCAGAAAGCTGGATTAGTTTACTCAGTCATGTGTTCTCTGGCTTGTGGAAATTGTTTCTTCTTCCATGGGTGACAGTCCTTTTATGCACAAATTGGAAGGAAACAAAAACATTTAGATTCTTCTGGATGTGGCCTCATTAGGCATAACGACATGAGTCCAACATTTCCCCCTGAAGCCACTGCTCTAAATGAGCTCGACACTTTCATCATCAGTCCTTATGTCATCTACATTATTAATAGGTAGAGTGAATCAATGCTAGAAATGAACAAATATAATCAGGAAGAGGTTTAGCCTTCCTTATTATTTCTCTGTATTAGACCCTTAGCTGGCCTTATGGATAGGTTCTCTTCTCAAGGAGATAGTTACCTCTCTGTGGTGCTGGCCACTTGCTGAACTTGGCTTTTTGGGATTTCTCCACAACTATTCCAGGAATCATTGCAAGACTTGAAAGGAATATTGCATTCGGTAACAGCCAAAGCAGCTCATTGGAGTCCATACATTATTTGGGTAAGCTTCAGCACCAACAACCTTCTATCATTCTCTTCCCTGTCTCCCTTCCTTCTTCCTTCACTCTGCAACTGAGGCCCTGGGGAGACAGCTGTTGAATTTGGGAAGTGATGAGCCAGAAGCAGATGATTTTGGAGGAGCAGCACCAAAGCCACTGGGTTCGTTGCAGCCACGTCTGGTTACAATTCACTTCATCTTTTGTGGGGTGTGTCTGTTGGAAAACCGACCAATGATATCCGTGGTGTCCCTTTCTTCCCCCTGCCTCTTGGCATCCCACCTTACTGCCCTCTTCACCCCTCGGGACCTTTTGCCCCCTTCTGGATCTCTTCTCTCATTCTGGGACTCTCAGCATCTTCCACTCATTCTGCTTAAATCTCCCTCCCCTCTTCTTGCAGCCATTTTCTTTCTACCTGGAATGTGATGATAATGAAACAGATAAAATATGATGAGAATAAAAATCTTAAATAGCGACAGAAAATAGGGATGGGGAATGCCTTTTGCATTTGACAAAAACATTCCTACTCTAGGGCTAAGTTCTCCCTCTGAAAACTTGAGTTCTTCTGAGGGTAAGCACTATCTCTTATTATCATGAGGCAGCAGGCGGCACAGTTGATAGAACACTGGGCCTGGAGTTAGGAAGACCTGAGTTCAAATGCAGCCTCAGACACTTATTAGCTATGTGACCTTGGGCAAGTCACTTAACCTCTGTCTGCCTCAGTTTCCTCACTTGTAAAATGGGGATCATAAGAGCATCTATCTCCCAAGATTGTTGTGAGGATAAAATGAGAGAATATTTGTAAAGCATGATGCCTGACACATAGTAGGAGCTTAATAAATGCTTCTTTCCTTCCTTCCCCTTATTTGTTGTGGCATGTGAAATGTCCAGCTCAATGCCCTGCCTGGAAAGACCCCTAACAAATACCATAACCTCCTCATTCACATTGCAGTCGTTGAAAGATGCTAGCTGTCATATACATATATAATTGACTATGCAGCTCTCGTTGCTATGACACCAGCATTTCCCCCATTCTTCAACTGTAAGAGCTATGATTGTAGTTTCACTGTTATGACCTCATTCTTAAGGAAGCAGCCTAGAATCCTTTCAGCAGTTCCCCACCCCCACTCCCACCCCTCACCCCCAGGAATTGGCTCACACTAACCACCTTGGAAAGACAGAAAATGACTTACCTATGTGGCTTTTTCAAAAGATATAGTACTTAAATGGATTCAGTGACCCATCCACCTTCTCTGTGAAGTACTACAAGTGATGCATCATCATAATGATCCCTTCTGTTTGTGCTCAAGAAAGTAATGGACCATTGAAAGCACATCTAGTCAGAGTACCCATAAGGAGCTTGGAATGTCCCACCTAGCAGTGGGGGTGTTCAGTGCCTAATAAATCTCAGGGTGACGAGGATTCATACATCCTCACCGCAGAGAATGGAGGCCTCCCATGATTAATTTTGCTATAATAAAGCATCTATCTTAAGGAAATTAGCTTCTTTTCTTTTCTATGAAGATCTCTTCCTTAAAAAAAAATCCAGCAGTGCAGAAATTTTCCCGTTTTCAATTTTCCCTGCACATAAAATAAGAGGAAGATGAGGGAGTAAGTCAATTTCATGGGAGTAGAAACATTTCTCTAGCCATCATTCTCATATCCCTGCTCACTTTCCAATTTACTCTCACAAGCCAGGTGGAGTTTGGTTTGGGCAGCTTCACTTCTGAACCTTAGCAGAAGCTAAGCATCACTTTAAGATTTGTTGTCATTATCATCTTTGTCTACTCACATATATTTACTATCCTTTGGGAAGATGACACTGTTCTTTGGTGCTTTTCTTTACTAAACATTTTGGTTTTAAAAAAGGAAGGAATAGTTGAGAATTGTTCATACCTAGGTATAAGTACCTAGGTAAATATATATTTCTGTATGCATCTTAGTATCTGTGTGCCTAGAACCCAAAGGAAATCAGGTGGTGGCAAAAAAAAAAATCCATGTCATAAACTTCTCATTCTGCTTTGTTTTCTTGGTTGATGGGTACTGGTGGCTCTAAGTGGGATGTGAGATGCAGGGGTAGGGATGAGGGTGAGCTACGGTTTCAGCTACCAGGCTGATAGTCCAACTGGACATATACCCATTTGTCCTAATTCTAAGGCTAGTGTGTTGTCTCCTACACCACAATGTCTTTCATGAATAAATATGCAGGCTCATTTCAAGCAGAAAATGCTGGAAATGGATTTAGATTTCAGCCATGAATAACTTTTGATTTCTCCTTAGGTGCCTCTGGAGTCCCTGATTGGGGAAAGGTTCCCTGGCTTAGTGAGGACAGCAGGTTGCCTCCGGGAAGGGGGGGTGACATTTGCAAAGAATTTCGCTGTTTCTCCTTCACTCCCCTCCTTTAGAGCTGTTCTAATTTCAGCAAAGCAGCTTCCTTTTCTCACAGCTCACTTTTGAAACAGCACCTTTCATACCCAAGAGCCCAGAAACTCTCCAGAGCTTAACACAACCTCTGTCTGAAAATTTGAACAGAATTGATCTAGAAACAGGGTGCTTCTTCACCCTCCTGAAACAAGAGGAAAGTAAAGGACAGTAAAAGAACAAGTGTCAGCAGTGAGATGTTTGCCTATTCTAAGGCGAACCATAATGCATAGAGTGCTGAGCCTGGAGTCAGAAAAACTCATTTTCTTGAGTTCAAAGCTGGCCTCAGACACTCGCTAGTTGTATGACCCTGGGCAAGTCACTTAACTCTATTTGCCTCAGTTTCCGCATCTGTAAATAAGTTGGAGAAGGAAATGGCAAACCAGTATCTTTCCAGTAAAATCCCAAATGGGGTCAATGAAGAGTTGGACACAACTGAAATGACAGAAAAATAACATCATCACTTTCTGATTAGAAGAACACTGACCCAAGATCAGAGATGCTCAGACTACATGTGACTTAGATGAGGGATTCAGAAGACTTGGTAGAAAGAGCACAGGACTGGATGAAGTCCAATGTGTTCTGCAGCTTCTTTGTTCTGACTCCTAGCTCCTCATGTGTTAAATGAAGTTATTGGAGGCACCAAGGGAGTGATGGGGGGGAAAGCAGAGGATTTGGAGCCAGAGAAGAGCTGGGTTTGATAACTCACTGTACTACTCATTACTTGGGTGACTTCAGACAAGCCACTTCTGCACTGACCCTCAGTTTCCTAATCTGTAAAATGAGTGGATTAGACTAGGTGACCATTAAAGTCTGACATCTCTAAGTCTGTGAAGCTGTATATTTAGGGGGGGAAAAGATTATCTCTTTCTGGGTCAGGATTTTCTAATAAAATCTGTATGTTAGCAGTAAGACTTTGGATAAGTCACTTCATCTCTCTCTCTAAATCTCAGCTTTCTCGTCTATGAAATGAGGTGGTGATTTGACTGGGTGATCCCTTTCCGCTCTAACAGTCTGTGGGTATCTGATTCTGAGTGGTCTTGGGTGACCCAGAGCCAATCAATTCCTCAAATCAGGGTCATGTACCTTTTGCTGTTTGTGGCCAGGCTCCCACGGGAAATTGCTTCTCATCAAGAGTACAGCCAAAGGAACCAGGCATGGTTGTAGAATCACTGAATGACTGTGGGAAGGGCAATCATGGAAAATAAATTTAGCAAGGAGCTCGTGTGTGTGTGTGTGTGTGTGTGTGTGTGTGTGTGTGTGTGTGTGTCTGTGTATGCAACTGCAGCAAGTCAGGCAAAAGCTTCTCCTCAGCTCACCCACAGTGGCCAAGAGCCAAAGCTGGTTTGCAGCTGTGTAAATTAGAATGCGCCAAGCCCTCGAGAACATTGCTTGCAGAGTGTTCAATCTCAGGACGTGAACCTGGCAGATGTTCAGCTTTGGTGGCATTTTCCACAATTTACTGTAAACTGCCACTCTGGGGATGTTTGTTCCTGCCACAATCCCACTGTTTCCTCACTCTGACTTGTTTCTTCCCACCTAGGTCCTCGCTGCGAAAGTTCTCAACCTTGTTCTCCCCAACCTGTCCCTAGGATCCATAGACTCCAATGTGATTTCCCGAAATAAGACCGAGGTGAGCTTCTCTGGAAATCTTTAATGAAGGTATCTTGTTGGTTATTAATAATGACAACAGATTAAGGTAGACAATCACCTGTCTACCCCTGACTTGTTAGTTGGCTCTCCCAATCACACCCTCATTTGCTTGCTATGTGCCAGGAACATTACTAAGTGCTGGGGTACAAAGAAAAAGGAAAAATGGTCCCTGCTCTCAAAGAGCTTATATCCTGGGACAGGTAGGTGGTGCCTAGAATGAGAAAGACCTGAATTCAAATCCAGCCTCAGGCACTTTCTAGTTGTGTGAACCTGACTCTGTTTACCTCAGTTTCCTCATTTGTAAAATAAGAATAGTAATATCACTTGCCTCCCAGTGTTATGGTAAGGGTCAAATGAGATAACAATTGTAAAGTCCCTGGCAAATAATTGGTGCCATATAAATTTTAGCTATCGTCATTGTAATCATCATCATCATCATCATTCTTATTATTATTATTAGCTATTGATGGGAGAAACACGTGTTTACAGAAGAAAGTGTTTACTGATTCTTGAGTCAGAGGACCTGGGTTCAGATCCCACCTCTGATTCTCACTACCTGTGTGAACCTGGGCAAATCACTTAACCTCCTGGGGTTTCAGTTTCCCCATGTGCAAATGAGGGTTTTCAACTAGATGGTCTTTCCATCTGTATTCCTATGTACATAAATAGAGATATGCAAAATAGCTATACAACAGATGGAAAGTAACAGGAGGAAAGGCATTCAGCAAGCATCTATTAAGTGTTTACTCTGTGCCTGGAACTGAGTAAGCTCTGGAGATGTAAATACAAAGATGAAATAGTCCCTGCTCTCAAGAAATTTTTGTTTTATGGCAGAAGACTACAAATCACATTTTTACTACAGGTGTATATGATTGACCCCATAGAATACATTCATAGAACAAAATAGTGTATAGTCTGTCATTCTAGGAGAGCATAATGAGCTAGTGTAGATACGTGATGCAATGTTACCACTCTCCAGAATGGAAAGACCTCTAGGTTTAGGGTCAGAAGACCTAGGTTTGGATTCTGGGTCTGTCACTGGGTGACCTTGGGTAAATCACTTTATTTCTTCAGGCTTATTTCTTCCATTATAAATTGGCGAGGATTGGACTAGGTGATCTCTGAGTTTCTTTCCAGCTCTAACTCATAGGGTCCTTTTAATCTGAGCTTGAATGAAAAACTCCAAGTTTCCAGGTGGTTCAGCTCCATTGAGCCTCAACTTCACTATGGAATGCCATTAAATTGATCTGCCCCCTTCTTTAGTGAGCATTCAGTTCTAGGCTTTGAGAATGCTAGACTTGGAATCTAGACACAGGCTCAAATCACGATTCCTGGCTGGGTGATCATGGGCAAACCAAGTCATGCCACTTGTCTTAGCCTTGATCTCCTCATATGTAAAATGGAGGTAAGAGTATTTACACTGTCCATCTTACCTGACCACTGTTCAGAAAGCACCTTCTGTAAATCTTGAAGAATTGTAGAGCTGTGAGCTTGAAACATGACTCAGTTTAATCCTGTAAATATTTCTGATCATTTTCAGTCTAAGCACAGCCCTACCCAATCTACTTTGAAGTTATTTAATCTCCTAGATTAGATTTATGGGAAAAGATGTAGTCCCATCTATGTGACTTGATGATCTTGACTATGTCTGCAGCTTGGAAGAAAAGAGCCCCATCTGGGGATGTTCATAGTAATAGCTCTTCCTTGGATGAAAAATTCCTATTAAAGCCAATTATCTTAGCAACAGCACTGATAGCACAACAAAGAAAAATCTCTCGGGGAGGAAGCATCCAGGTGTAGACTAAAGGTTGTTTATTTCTGCACCTAAAAAAAAATGTGGGTGAGACTGAAAGAAGAAAATGAAAGAGCTGTAGTAGTCTTGCATTAAAAGGGTTGACATCTGGATTTTAATTTAATATCAAGTGATGTTAAGGGTTAGCTGGTGGCTCAGTGGATAGAGTGCCAGGCCTGGAGTCAGGAAGGCTCATCTTCCTGAGTTCAAATCTAGTCTCAGACACTTACTAGCTGAATGACCCTGAGCAAGTCATGTAAGCCTGTTTGCCTCCGTTTCCTAACCTCTCCAGTGTCTTCATCAAGAAAACCCCAAATGAGATCACAGAGAGTCCAACATGACCGAACAACAAGAAGAATATCAAGTGGAATGAAATCCAGGGCTTTTTGAGGCAAGCCAGAGTGTCAGTGTGGTGTTGTTGGAAGACCTTTGGACTCAGAGTCAGGAATCTTGAGGTTATGTCCCTGCTCTGGCATTTATTAGCTGCTTGACCCAGGGCAAATTACTTCTTTCTTTGAGCCTGTTTCCTCACCTGTAAAATGAGGCTAAGAGGATCATCAGATTTAGAACTAGAAGAGACCTCATTAGTCACCTAATAATCTCTTCATTTGAAAGATGAGGAAAGTGAGACCTGGAGAAAGGAAAATTCATAAAGATTCAAACCTACGTCCTCTGACTCCATGAATTCTTAGCTTCATGGGATTTTGAGCTGAAGGAGCCCTCGGTTATTAGAGAATTATGGATTTAGAGGTGGGAAGTTCATCTAATAGAGACAGAATTAGAACCTATTTCCTCTCTAAATTCACCATTCCTTCAACAACTCTAACTCACGGGGTTGTTGCAAGGAAAGAGCTTTATAAACTTTCAAAAAGTACTTTCAAAATTTGGAGGAAGGAGAGGAGGAGAAAAAGGAGGAGGATAGTGATGATGATGATGATGATGGTGATGACGAAAGTAAAATTACAGTATTAGTGTGGCAGGCAGGTCCTGCCATCTCTCCATCCATCCCTGTCTCCTTTCTTGCTAATGCTCCAGCTTTCTGGCTGGCCAGGTAAATGGTGTCATTGGTTCAAAGGTCTTCATGAATTCCCCAGTTGTGAATATGCACGAAAGCAGTGCCTGAGTAAGATAAGGACCAAGACTGACCCAAGCTCTTCTTCATTTAGTACATTCCTCTTTTTTGTTCATTAGGTTAGATGGTGAGCCAGTAGGCTGTAAATTTTGTGTCTCCCTTGAGTATTCTGTTATTAGCTTTGAAGTGAACAAAGACAGGAAAAGGAACATATTCCAGGGAAAGCCTGATAGCCAGAGTTTTTGGTTGGAACATCAGGTCATGATATGGCTCGTTTGGGTAAGAGCTCATCACTATTTCCCTAAGCAAACCATTTGACTATAGATAGACTTCCCAAAGACCATAGAAATGACAAATGGAGAACATGTTTCTCCAACTCGCTACAGTGAAGCAAGATTCTCAAACAGGACGTAAGGGCATTTCGAATAGGAGAGAGATGTTTAGAAATCTCTTTGTAATCAGATTTTGCTTTGTCCTTTGAATGTCCAAAGTGGGATCTTTTGGGAACTCTTTGGCAAACTACCTTGCAACAGACCCAAGGAATCCAACCAAGTGTTATGATCTTTCTTGTTCTGGCAGCTGCCGACCCACAGAGAGGCTGCCCTGCCTGGGCTCAGTGAAAATCTTGCCAGAGGTAATTCGTGTGCCTCCACAGGTGTTAAAGGGGCAGCTAGGTGGCACAGTGGATAGAGTGCAGGGCCTAGAGTCAGGAAGACTCTTCTTTGTGAGTTCAAATCTAACCTCAGATAATTACTAGCTGTGTGACCTTGAGCAAGTCGTTTAAGCCAGTTTGCCTCAGTTTCCTCATCTATAAAATGAGCTGGAGAAGGACATGGCAAAGCTGCTCCAGTATCTTTGCCAAGAGAAACCCAAATGGGGTCATGAAGAGCCAGACACCGCTGAACAACAACACCAACAGATGTTCAAAGTGGGTGAGAATCAGAATAGTGGCTCCAGAGAACAGCTCAGTCTCCGTGCATCAACAATGTTCCACAAGGTCATTTCAAAATCAGACTCTGTGTTTAGGGTGCAAGATATGATGCTAGGTAAACATTCACCCCTGCAGTCCTGAGTTTTCTGATCTGTAAAATGTGAAGGTCGGACCAGATGGACTCTGAAGTCCTTTCTAGTATCACTGTAACATCCTGTGTTCTGAGGTCCTTCCCAACTCCAATAACACTCTGTTTTAAGGTCCTTTCCAGCTCTAATGTTCTGTGTTCCAAGGTCCCTTCTAGCTCTAACATTTCTGTCCTGAAGTCCCCTCTGGTGCAGGTTTTGTTAAGTTCCCTGCCAGCTCTGACATTTCATAAAATGCAGGAAAAGTAGGTTAGGACCCTGGATTAAGCATTCTGTTTGCAGGGGCACTCTTCAGATTTCACTTTACTTCTCACCATAAATCTCGTAAGCACCTGTCACATACAAGGATCTTGAATTGGGCACTTTATATATACAAACAACAAACAATTCCTGCTCTCAGGGAGCTTACAGGCTACCTACTGAATGATATGAGTGGGATAAATGACTCAATTCCTCCCATTGGGAACCCATGAAATTGTTCTAGGTGACCTTGGTCAACTTTATTGGAGGAGGGCTGCTTTTGAAGGAGAAGGCTTCTTCCCTCCTCAAGCAATCAATATATATCCAAGTGCTTTAAGATCAGATCCACTGATTTGTTTCAAAGCTGAAACATTTTAGCTGAGACTCTAAGCGCTCTGGTAGTAGCTACGATAAGACAGTTTCTGAGTGCATGGTGTCCTAGGGACATTCATTATTTACATGTCAAATATATTCCTCTTCCAGAACCAGCTTTCTGCCCTCTATAAATATCTTTGGGATATCCTCCAAGAGCATTCTTACTAGTTTATATTCACAACAGGCAGGCCATATGGTGAGTTATATGTATGCAAGTCATAGTTACAAGTCAATAACTTTTGCTTACTTCGTTTTCCATCTAGAATTTCCCCCTCCCTCCTTCTGGTTCCCCCCATCTTCTTAACACAAACAGGGACCAGTTTCCAGCCATACGTAATAGATCTTTCTCCATCATTCCCCACAGACCAGTCCACAAGGTATTTTCCAAAGACCTGGGTTCAGGCCCCCCTTGGTCACTGTCCAA